GCTCATTAAGGCCTGACCCCGCTACATCCAATATGTAAGTCATGATCCCTCTTTTCCGCCCTCTCACATTTGTCGGTTATATTATTTACATGACGCCATGGGCCGTCTCCCTTTCAATTTCCGCGGCTCTCTGCCAATTAGCGGTGGAGTGTGTTGGTCTAGCGCTTCGTGCACAAAGCAGAGGGCACAGCGGCGAGCCTGAACAAACAACGCAAATAGATAGCCCCCTCTGCGGCCGACGCGCCGCGGGCAAATATCGCCGCTCCTTGGCGGCCATATTACCACGTGCTGTGTATGGGTAGTGCCGGGTCGGTCAGGCTGGTGAGGAGAGGAGAGGAGAGGAGAGGGTGCTTGGTCGGCGGTGGGTCGGCTGGTCAGTGTATTGGTGGGGGTCTATGTAGGCTCAGCAAAATAATGGTGAATTGTCTAAACATCTTGACCACTTTTTTTGGTTGTAATCAGGCAAATGGAAGGTAGGTATGTATTTTATTCGAAGAACACTGGAAAAGGTAAATGTTGCCTTTACTGATAGTAAATATCGATATTCCTCGCATTGCAGCAGATCGCTGTATAAGTTCTCATCCCGGCACCTGCGTGGCGGTGGCCGTTGGTTCGTCTGCGAGGAATGTTGTTTGTCCCAATACCCGGATGGCGTCGGACGCTAGGAGCGACCTTTCCCCTGGGCCGGTCACCACGGCACCCCGGCCTCCGGAGCCTAGGCGCGACCTGCCAACCAACATGACACCGCCAACGGACGCCGCCGCATTGTATGCAAAGCGGAGCCGTCAACAGGGGAGTTTTTGTGTCACATGACCTCGCGCCGCATGCGACAAGACTGACGCCGTTTTGTCACGTGACCTTTTCGAGACGCGCCGACCGGGTCACGTGATTGTCAGCGGTGGGTGATGTGTGGTGCTGGTTGTGGGTCACGTGGTTTTGCTCGCTATGATGTGATGGCCGAGCTGACAGGTCACGTGCTCGATGGTCGATGATACCGGCTATGCCGTTCTGAATCTGGAGTTCCGACGAAATACAAAAGAGACTATTCTGCCATACTGGAGATGGATTGGATTGGCTTTAAAGTTGACTGCTCGACGCGGAACTATTTTCATAACCGCGCCGAGAGGCTAATCGGGCATTCAGAAGTGGTGGCTGCCGGGATTCGGAAGACGGAGGGCTCGTGCAGTTCGGTAAATCTTCATTAGCACCCCCCCCCCCGCGACCGAACCGCTGACCCGGAGGCTGAACGCGGACACCGCTGTGACCTGGTGACCCGGAGACCCAGCTGGCAGCGCTGATTTGCCCGCTCATCAAGGGGCAGGTCATGCGACGATGCTACTCAGCGACTCAGCAGCGGCAGAGTCTGAGCCTTCCGCCCACCGCTGCGCCTCTTCCACCGCAAGGGGCGTGCACAGGATTATTTAATGTCGTAATTGACGCTTGTTCAGCCCGCCCGACTCGCCAGTATTAATAGTTGGATATTTCGAGGGCCGCGAGACGTATTCCTGCATTTTAATAGCGCGTAACAAGATACACGCTCGTGAGAGACACGTCGTTCATCTTGATCCGCCCTGTGACGGGTGTTGCGCGTGATGACGTCACCGTGCTAGTGTGACGTCACACCTGTGCAGTGTGCAGTGTGCACTGTGCAGGCTGCGTGCGGCAGAGGAGCGGCGTTCGCGGCGCGTGGGCTGCGAATTCGGCGCACGTAGCTGTGACGAACGGTGCGTATCAAGCCTGTGTAGGTGCATTGTCCGGGGCTGTGGGTGCGGCCAGCTCGCCTCAGCAATGGCTCGATAATTGTGAGTTATGTAGACAGAGCTGACCTCTGTGACCCACGCCGCCAGAGGGGTTTTTCACCATTTTATTGCGGCGTCGTTTGTTCTGATAAACGCGCTCTGCGGGCTGTGTTAGAGACGGCGATGCGCGTGACGACTAGCGCGTCTCCCGGCGCCGTAGTACACGGTCTCATTTCTCGGGGCTCAGTTTGTCCGAGGACCGGGACGAGCTCCGCTGTCCCGGGCGTCGGGAAGATAGGCTAGCCCGGTCGTAAACGGCACGCCAACAACTCACTGCCAGATAAACTCCCAACCGGGACTGCGCCGCCGCTGGATGCATCGCACTCGCGGGAAGTTTGCGGTGACTGTCTGACGTAGCGAAACTGCTAGCACGGTTTATGGGACAATGTATTACAGCGATCGGCCGTCGCCTCGGCTTTTTATTGTCTAGATATATTTTATTTACTTTATTTTCACATAGTGGTATCGCAGACCCTACGTCACTTTGTATCAACAATAGACGCTCCAAGTTTTCAACCATGTTTGAACATTTCGTCGTAATCTGTTTTGTGTTTCACCCGTTGTGGCGGCAGCAACGTTGAAACTTGCTATCGTCTCCAATCGCTTCGCACAAAATCTGATTTTCTCCGAAGAATGAAGTCTACCGCTTTGGCCCGCGGCCGTAGGGCGGGGCTGAATCGATTCGAACGTCCCCCAATCGCTGAGTGTCGTGTGCCGTTGGAAAGCCAAAATCGATGCGACGCGCAAATTGCTCGTTATGAAATCACTAATTGCTCGGGAGGGGGCGGAAGCCCCTGAGCGCGGCGCCCCCTCCTGTGGCACGCGGTGCCTGCGGTCTGCTCTGTGTGACAGCCTGTGGTCGCCGTGATCGCGAACACGCGCACGAGGACCCCCAGGATCGATCACGGTCCCAATCAAAGCGTCGTTACTGGTCCGCACCGGGCCGACGGCGGGCGCCGAGCACACACACACACGTGCACGGCTCTTGGCACCAAGCGGCCTATTCTTGCGACACGTGCGGCTTGTCTGTCCCCTGAGACGGCCGCGGGGCTGGGTCGGGTCGGGTGCGGAGCTGAGCAGTCGAGCCGTCGACAGCAGGCGGCTCGTTATGGGACGTCGGAGCACCTCGGGACGCTCTGCGCCTGGTCGAGGCGGTCTCTGCGGACAGGACGGCCTGGAGCCGTCAGCGGCGCCCCTCCCCAGGCCTGGCGCGCGGCCCGCTCGGCACAGTCCCCCGGGCTTTTAGCCGAATAAAAGGGCCCATGCATTGGAATAGGATTACGCATCCGTTTGTCGGTGCCAGATAGGGCTGTTGGTGCGCGGACGGCGGCGCCGCCGCAGCGGCAGATTGCTGACGGGGTCTGCTGCCGTCAGTGGGGGCGTGTGTGTGTGTGAGTCACACGTGGAGGGAAGTTTGGGGGACGAGAGGGGGTGTCGCGAGGGTGACACTGCACCGCGGGGACGGCAGAACGATGGCTCCCGGACGGGCGGCTTGTCGCTCGTTAGCCGGGGACAATTTAACGCGGTCTCCTCCGCGACAGATAAATTACCCTCGGCCTGATATTGAGAGGGGCCGGCCCCGCCCATAACTCTGATTAGGGCGCGATATTGTTGGGCTCTGACAGCCGCCCCGCGGCGATGTGCACGACGGGGGGGGGGGTGAAGGCATAGCTGACCGACTGTGCACGGAGATGGGGATCGCGCTGAATGGGTCCGCGGATAGAGCGCGGCCTGGACCCAATCCATTCATTAGGGCTTTGATAAAATACAGTGCGGAGCTCCGTCGTCCCCCGGCCAGTGGGTTTTATCTGATGGAGTGTGTCAGTTGACTGATGGTTTACTTGGTCCGAGCTGTATCCTCCCCCGCTCGGTCGAATAGCGCTATTTTAGGGGAGGAAGTGAGGGCCACAAGGGTCATTTTGCAACGATTGGTGGACGGAAAGCTGGTACAATGAACCATGTTACGGTATTCTGAGCTCTTCTGGCCTGTCGATAAACCTTCTGAAAGTTCTTTGACGGAGCGTAAGCCTTATTAGAAAGAGCCATTACCAAGATACCTCATTATACGGATAACATCTATGATTGTCCTTGAATAATTAGAAACATTTCCTGGCTTTAGTCGGATCAAATAGCCTGATTATCGATCCTCCGTTCGTTAGGCATATTTGTGCTACCGAAACTAATGCCCTCAAAGATATACAGATACATGGCATGGAACTATCCCCGGCCGAAGCCAAACATTTACAGTAGACCCCTCGTGAATCTATTCGAATGGCTTTGCGGCAATAAACTTTGAATATGAAGCAAAAGTTAGCTACAATCTTCCTGATTTCCAGGGATTAACTATCCTACCGTGCTACAAAATTCCTTTTATTTGCGAAACGTGTCCCATAACCTCAATCACAGGAGGACTTACATCCACTTATCATTTCTAACTATCTCCGTCGGATTTTACTGCGGCATTAAAGTGCATTTGGCACCGATGGCAGACCTCTGGGTCCTTCAAATTGCTGATGGGGACGCGCGTAGTGTTCGCATCCACCTTGACCTATGGTGGGTCACACAGGACTCCTAATACATCAAACTGCAACGTTTATAACCAAGGAAAGGTCTCATGGTGGCGTTATTCACTCGCCAATGAAAATATGTGATCTTAGCCAAAAGTTTTTGACGTAAAACGTGCGTTGATATAAACATACACAATCAATCACAGTCAAGCTGATCAGAAGCGGTGTTTGCTACCACATGTATGCTTACCGTTGCACTGAATTTTTACTAGACAGCTGCCACTCAGCTCACATCAAAACCAGGCACACGTTGTCTGGGCGTTATGGCTAGTCGTTTGGCAACATTTTGTTTGGCCGTCAAATGGTCCCAGTTTTTACCCGGCTGCAAAACATCCGTTCCCCTTGCCAGATGCTAAGCATGTCCAGACATTAAAGTGGCTTGATTTGGCGGCCGAGTCGAATCACGTTCGATGCTTGTGTGCGCTGCTCAAAATACGCGTAACGATGTGGGCATGATCGGCCGTTAATCATAAGCGTGATCGGCCTTGTCGACTGCGTGCTTACATATTGCGCTAATTAAACCACTCTACCGACCCGACCTTCAGCAGTTGACCTGTGTGGCTGACCTGTTGTGACCCCGCTAACGACCTGTCACTAATGACAGCCACTAACGAACCCTTTCTGTCATTCACAGTGGGTGGAGGAGAGCTTCACCAACTTCGCCAAGGGCATCAACTGGCGGTCGTACGTGGTGTGCGACGTCGCCCACCAGAACGTCAACAACTGGCTGTGGACGCCGTTCATCGAGCGAGGCGAGGCAGAACGCATCTACATCGAGCTGCGCTTCTCGATGCGCGACTGCTCGCTGTTCCCCGGAACACCGCTCACCTGTAAGGAAACCTTCAGCCTGCTGTACTACGAGTTCGACGCGGCCACGCGCGAACCTCCGCCCTGGGAACCGGAGAGCTACCGGCTGATTGACCGGATCGCTGCCGACCAGGGTCGCTCCACGTCCAGTCAACAGCAGGTCATCAACGTCGAGACGCGCTCCATCCCCGTCACCAAGAAGGGCGTCTACTTCGCGGTGCGCGACCAGGGCGCCTGCATCTCCCTGCTGGCCGTCAAGGTGTACTACCAGACGTGCCCGCAGGTGACGGCCGGCTTCGCGCAGTTCCCGGCCACACCTACCGGACGAGAAGAGACCATGATCAAAACAGCACGGGGCAGCTGCGTCGCCAACGCGGTACGACAACATGACTCGGTGCCCAAGTACATCTGCAAGGGCAATGGAGAGTGGGAGCTGCTCGACGGCGGCTGTCTCTGCAAGCCCGGCTTCGAGTCCGACATGGAACGCCAGCGGTGTCAAGGTCAGTCCCACTGGGGTGGAGCTAGGGTTAGCCTGGGTCTGGGAGGGTCAGCTCAAGCTGGGTAGGGTTTTGGTTTGTTAGGATTCCGCAGGGCCAGTTATACTTTCAAATGCTGGCGCCTATTTCGGCAATACTTGCAGCAAGTATTTTCCTCAAGTTAAAAACGCAATGGCTGTATTTGATTTTGAAGAATGTGTGTGGTTCGTGTGGTGCAAATATGTGCCCTTGCATGCCACATGCGACCTAGACGTGTCCTGTATGAATGAGCTTGTATATGTGGGTACTTGTCCCACAATTATGAGTGGCTCGTTACATGGCATTTCGCTCCGCATTGTTGGAGCTTACCGAACTTGTCTTTCGACCAGGTAACCGACAGATAGATTAGTTACGAGGATGATTCAAATCAGACATTACCCTGTCAAGGTTTTAAGCTCCGGCAAGCCCACAATAGAGCAGCTCTAAGAGTAAATTTATGTCGAGATTGAACGTTCTTATCCTGCAACTTCGCACAAGCCAGTCGTTTTCGAAACACTGTTCGGCTCTTCAACATTCCTAAAGCATTGTAAGCGATATCGTAAAACGATTTTGTGATAGTTGTGGTGTTCGTGTTTGATCTGCTGCGCAACGCAACATGTGCTCCGTGGATGTTTTTGCGATATTGTGCAATACGTTAGCTGGTTTTGGGTGGACAAACCGGTTGGGCAGCCCAGCATCAGACAGCGTCGCCAACTGACCATTCCAGTCAACTGAAAAACTGCATGTCCACCGCCATCGCATGGTCGCATTCGATGCGCAATTCGCTCACAGCCAGATATTGGCTCTACATTCGCCGGCCTAGCATGACCATCCATCGATGGCCCAGTACCAATCGCTTCGCTTTGTTGTGTTGTCGCTTGGCTTCGCGGCGTCATCACTTCGTTTCGGTCCCGGAATCGTGCTGCGCTGAGACGGAAGCGCCGCAATCGACGTGCCATGTGCTGGCTCCGGCGGTCGTGATACAAATTAATTGTGCCGGAGCGCGCGAAATGAAGCGTGATGCGGCACTTTTGTCGACAAAGCGCTGCCAGCCTGGGAACAGGGACAGACTTCGGTCGGACGCTGACCGCGAACGCCGGCCGAACGTTGGCCGGCTAGCGCTGGTCGAGCTTATGTCGGACGTTGAATGGACGGCAGTGGTACGCTGTTGAAACGTTGGACGAACTTTTGGAACGTAGGTCGAAGATTGTTGGAGTAAAGGTAAACCGATGTTCAAACTCTTTCCACGTAATTAGCGGAGCACCCGGGCCCATAGCCACCCATTCATCCATTCGGACAAAATTTCTATCAAAAAAATATTCCACCTTTGTCCTGTGAAATCAAGCGTAACCAAGTTGGCAAATCGTAGCTCCTTTGCAAGATGCCTCGCTTCCTCAACACCTTTTGCACTAATCTGCGTAGTCGTAGTCGTAGTACTCATGCGCGCCAGAGCACTGCAATCACGGACGTTCACTCTAATACCCGTCTCCGGCCCTGTGGTCTCACTGGCCGAGCCTGCGGTCAGCCGACATGACTCGGGCTGACCCACGAGGACCGTATCGTGACTGATGATCATTAGGCGGAGTCGGTCACGAAGAGGCCGCTTTCCACTTCCGGGCTGGACGAGGGGAGAGACCTGTGTCACGTACTCGCCGTCGTGGTCATCATCGTCGTCGTCGTCATTGTCATCGTCGTTATCGGTATCGTCGGCAACGGCGGCAGGGAAGCGAAGACGGCGGCTGTCTGGTTATCAATGGCAACGGGACTGCGAAGAATGAGCCACCCCACCCTCAGTTGGGGTTCCTGACCTCTCATCTGAAGCGACGGCTGGCGGCCCGTCAGACACACTCACACACAAGCCCCGCCCGGAGCCGGATTATCTCATTTCTCTCAGTCATGGGTAGCAATAACGGGGCGAGTATTAATAATTTCCCGGACCATCCATATCTGGCGGCGGCTGGTGGTGCGTCCAATCGCACCAGCCGGGCTCAGGGGGCGCGCCCGCCGACAGTTAGAGGGCGCGGGGTACAGACGGGGAGAGGGATGAAGAAGAGGGGCGTATGTGAGCCCTCCGCAGAGGGTAGACAACGTGACGCTGTTAGCGATGAAATATCGTGTGTAAAGCTTTATGGTCTACAATGCTACATACTCGTATAACATTTACATTTTTACGAAGTGGAATTAACTGTAGAGCACAGCTAACACAGATGTTGAAAATAATGAAACTCGGTAGCAGTTACCATTCTATCGGATCGTACCTCTTTTATTTAAAGCCATTTACGAATTCACTGCTTGGAATCATCACAGCAGTTTCTCTAATCTCAGGCTGAACTCGCCGGTTCTCTCCCTAACGAGATCTCCCTAGACCCGGCCGGCGCTCGCTGGATGTAATTCATGGCACGACGAGAGGCACATTTGTTCTGCTCTCTGGCTCAGGCCGCCCGCAGTCACATTGTTCAGCAAATCGAACAATAAAATTAACGGGTTGGCCGGCGCGGCGCTGAGCGGCGAGAAGCGGCGCGGTGCGCGGCAAGGAGCGGCGCGGCGCGCGGCGTGCGTCCCCGGTCAGCTTGTCGTGCCTCTGACCAGCGGGATGCTCAAACTGGCGTGAACGGGCCGTCATCACGTGACCCTGGCTGTCGGTCGCGGCCTCGGTCACGTGACTCGCTGAGATAGAAGACGGCACCGTTAGAGCGAGGAAGGAGACGGCCGGAGAAGGCACGGACACGCCGAGAGCCGGGTCGTGACGACCGAATTTATTCCGAGTTTGGGCCGATAACGATCGACCGTGAACGAGGAGGCTGTAAATTGGCCACACAAACTCTCAGGTGGGTCGACCGCTCAAATGGTAGACGGACGTAAAATGGAATCTTTATCAATTTCATCGATTCCCCAAAGTCGTTGACATTCTCTGCCACCTTTATTGCGAAGTTCCCGTTTCTCGAATTCAGATTAACGTTAAAAGTTAAAACCCTCACCGCGACTCCACTATGCCACTAGCTGAGGTCATTACCTCGAACCGATGACGTCACAGCCAGCCGGGGCGGACACGGGCGCGGTTATCATACGGGTGGTCATCCGGCCAACATATAGTGGCCGTTCCTATTAGCATCTCCGGCGGTACCGTTGGCCGTCTGTGTCGGCGGTCGGCAGAGCGGTCTGATGTGTAACCCGACCAGCCAGCACGGCTCGTGTGATGTGCTATTGCGCCGCGGAGAGCGGATGGGAAGCTGAGTTGGGACCGCGCCGTTCAATGCTTTGGGATGGAAGCATGGTCGGTTTAGACGTGCGGTTGTGAGGCGAGCCTGCGACAATTAGGGGGTTGAGGATCATCTTGGACTGGGATTGTATTGGTTGCGTTAGAAGCGATCGCTTTCTGACCTCATCGGATCGAAGCGGACCGTGGTTTTGGTAGGTCATGACAGATCTGGGGCTGGTTGAGACGGGTATAGGGTCGGGTCAGGTCAGTCCCAGGTTAGTTCAGGCCCGCGCCTGGTCGGGTCGGGTGGGGTCGGGTCATGTCAGGTCCTGGTCAGGTCGGTTAAAAGTCAGCTCAGGTCCGGGCCTGGTCGGGTTGGGTGGGGTCGGGTCAGGTCAGTTCCTGCACAGGTCGGTTCCAGGTCAGCTCAGGTCCGGTCCCGCCCGAGTCTGTGTGCGCGGCCGGTCCGCCGCCCGGGGCAGGAGCGGACCGGTGCGACGCGCGGTAATGGTCGCTGTAATTGGCGCTCTGGGTCCTGGGTGCGCCGTCCGCCGGGTCAGCCAGGTCCCGGCGAACGCACCGAGCGACGCTGCCGGGCCCGGCTGTCCCCATTCCGACGCCGAAATCGGCCCGAAACGACCCACAGACGGAGACCGGCCCGACCGAGACCCAACCGAGCCCCGACCGCCACCCGACCGCCATCCGACCGCCATCCAACCGCCTCAATGCCGCATCCACCCACTTGAAATACTGAGCAAAAAAAGCAGGCCTGCGTGCGAGGTGCGATAGATGCTCGCTGGACACGCGAGCGTCGTCCCTAGCCCGGCACGGCTCGGTCCAGTGTGGCCACAGTGAACGGACGCGCTGGCCGCGCTGACTGGCGGTTTGCGCCGCTCGTCGTGTCTCCGGCCGTCGTCTTTGTCCGCCGCTCGACGCCGTGACTCGGCGAGAAGACATAATTTTACACCGCGTTTAGTTAGATGAGATTGGGCCGAGCTGTGATTTCTCGCTAGGAAAGGTAGTCGGTCGGGAGGAGAGAGGGAGGACGCTGGGAGGGGAGGGACGCTCGCAAGGCTGCCGGGTCACCGACGCGCCCTGTTGCGTGCAGCAGAGCTGCGCCGCGATGGAGGACCAGAAACGCGACCTGTAATTGGACAGACGAGAGTGCTCGTCAGGTCGGTCCATTAAGCTTGATGGTCGTGGAACTAGGCGGTGAGCGCAGCGCAGATGATGTTACGACGATGGTTCGCTCGCTCGTGGGTAGGCTGAGTAACCTCGATCGCCCCCTTTGTGCGGCCGGACGTTTTTGGCGTCGGCAGTCGCGGCAGCCGGCGCTCTATTTAGCTAACAGCCGTTAGGCGTCGTGACAACGTATCCAGTGGCGTGGCGTATTACCATAATGGCTGCTCCCTCAGCTAGGTATCTATCCCACTTTAATTAAACGGCCCCATTGTCGCCGGCGCGCCAGTGGGGCAGATCCGGCGCGATCGCCGCGCCAAATCCGCCGCAGCGGGCTCAATATGCCGCGACTGCGCTGCATTCGCCCTCGTCGCGCCGCCGCCGCCGCCGTTGGCCCGCTTCATTAGTGCCAACGGCGTTGTCAAATGACGCAGAACACCAATAAATATGGCCGACGTGACGCCGACGGAGTGATTGTTTCATCGAGCGGCTGCCAGATCGAGCTGTGCTGCCAGATGGTGAGCCGCCGTGGCCCGAACGAATGGAGGCTGACCCTCGCCGTGACCACAACTGCCGCGCCAGAAGTGAAGCATAGCCGGTCCACCGC